AAAAAATTAAAACACTTGGGATTTTGCCACTGAACTGACAGTTTAAAGCTGTGCTTTGTTTATCCTATGCCTTCACGGACTCCTGAATCGCAAAATTCTATCTGTATGATAATGAGTAATTCCAAAGAATCGCAAAAGTTGCATAATCTTCAAAGCATAGCATTAAACACACGGATTAAGTAATGTTCTAGAACATGAATTTGGCCAGGCCAAAAGTGGTGGTGGCTTTTCAGAGGCATTTAGTGACCTGAAAGCAAAGGCGGATGGTAGGTACTGATTAGGAATGGTGGTAGTGTTTGGAACCACATACTCTTGTGCCGATCATAAGATATTCCTTCCTTCTTAGAAAGTGGCAGTTACTAATGTCACCTGGTTAGGCTTAGTAGGGAGCATAAGGACCATAAAATGGAAGTAAATGTTCGCTTTGGCAGCACATATACTAAAATTAGAACGATACAGAGAAGATTAGCATGGCCCCTGCACAAGGATGACACGCAAATTCGTGAAGCTTTCCATATTTTAAAAAAAATGTAAGTAAGGTCATATGTGTCTACTCTAAAGCTAAGCAGAAAAGTAATTCTTTCCTAGAAAACCACATAGAAGTTTATTCCTGAGGGACAGAGATCATGTTTTATTTATTTGGCTTATCTCACTGTACCTTGAATAATGTTTTTACATAGTAGGAGTGGTAACATGTTTGATAAACTGGATTGTCAGGAGAAGTGACTTGCTTCTTCCAGGGCATAAAATCTCATGGACTCCTCTGACATTGACTTGTCTTTGTGGCACATATAGATTCTTCCTTATCTAGACTATTTAAAATAGGTGATTGGAAACTGGATACCCGGAAACATTTCATCAAAAAGTTCAACAGGAACTTGATTTAGTAGCTCTGAGGAGATTAATGCTTAAGAGGGAGTAAGAAAGTACCTCTAATCTCCCCAACACTCACCTCCTCTGCCCCAGGTCTTGCCCAGAGCCAGCTTTCACCAATAGACTTTGTTTTCTGTATTTGCCAAGAAAATAGAAATAATTCCCTTCTCTATAGGGGAGGTATTTTGAACGTGGCCCATTGAAAAACAAGAGTTAGAATGAATCGTAGTGACCTCTCAATTGGAAATTTTCTGTATTTTCCTGATCTTGTTCTTTTAACCCTCATTTGAGCATTTAGGGTGGGGGTTGGAGAGGAATTCTTTCACAGACCTGACTGGTTATTGGAAACTGTAAAATCGTGGTTAAAACCGGGAAGATTAGAGGGAACTTTCCTCCCCCATTTTTTAAAGTTTGGCTGTAGGTCCTTCTGCCCGCAGGCCACAGTCACATTAGAGGTTGAAAATTGGATAACGACAGCACAATGACAAATCCAGGTTGCTTGCAATAAGTTGCTAATCCCTTTGCTTTAATATCGGAGCAGCGTATAATGATGTTTGGACATCACTCCAGTTTACTGACGACCCCACTGGGGCCAGCAATAGAACCTTACAACTGTCTAACAAGGCGTCAGGTGACTCCCGTCGTCACAGCAACGGACACTGGAATCTAATCTTCCCTCCATCCCTTCTAGCACCCAATAACGCCTAGATTATATAAGTGGCCCATCATTGCTGGTAACTTGAATCAATTAACGTTAATTCGCACAATGCTATGATGTATTGTGATCACTTTCATTTCAGGGAAGGGGGAGAAATTGCTATAAGTCACCTAAAATGAGGTTGTCTGTGGTGCTGAGGTATTAATTGGGTGTCCATATTAAATGCAAAAGGAGCCCCATCGTGAAAGGAAAGTGGATGAGTGACTCTCTTGGCTGCTATTGACCTATCAGAAGAAGACAGTGCCCTTTTCCTTTGCTTTTATCTATTACAGTTTTCCCTATTGCGTGTCAAGTTGATGTATTATAAAAAATTCATTTGGTGACCTTTCACCCCCTCAGCAGATTAAACAATTTCACTTCGATGGCATCATTAACAGGACCCTGCATTTAATGATGATTTCTCTAAAAGGCCACGGAGATTCGATTTTAAGCTAACAGATTTATTGCACTATTATAACATATCGTAAAAAACTGTACCACCTACGGTCAGGTTTTAGGATAGAAACTGCTTAAGAGTTTATGTGGCGCTTAAAGTGGTATTACCTTGGGATATGCTGTAGCAGAAGTCTCTGACCTCCAGTGAGATGCTGTTTACATTTAATAAGAGGTTTTTGCTCACAATAAACTTTAAAGTGTGTCAGGGAAGGGCTTTCGAGTGGGTGTTTAAGCGGGTGGCTCTCGTCCCTTCATCACTAGATAGCTATGTGCTTATGTCAGTAGCTTTGATGGCGCCTGGATTTTTCAGACCCACGCTGCTGCATCTGGTTCTGCACCAGAAAGCACTTAAGTGCTTTTCCTTCGGTGGGAGAGACTAGGAACTGGTGATAATGCTAGACTTTTCTAACGAATGGGAACCTGGCAGGGATAGAATTCATAGCATGAATTTAAAAAATCTTAGTTTAACTCTTTTTTTTAAAAAAAAGGGTTTCAACCACTGGGACTGAGCAAATGAATGAATGATGGTAGATAATGCTCATGTCTTCTGAATTGCCCATGAAGGATTTTAGAGAGAGCCCAGAACCTTAGTTGGTAATGATCAGAGACAGTTCTAGAATTACCTGTCCCACTCTGTCCCCATTTCCTAGGATTCTCAGGGGAGAGGGGCATGGCCTTCTGCAGAAAACTTCTGGATTGTGATCCACTGTAATTTCTCTCCCACTATTTCCATTATTTAAGACTAATTATGACCTTGCTTGACACGTCTGTTCCATATTAATAAATATTTTATTCTCTCCTCTCACAAAACTGTTTAAGGTAATTTTAGAGATTAATTTATAAGCATTAATTTATAAGCATTCGATAGAGGACAGGGCAAGCTACTTTTTACTGTTTTTCAATCAAAGCCTTGTTTGAGATGACCAAGGCTACTTTAGATAGAAACTGTCAAGGAATGTTCTCTATTGGGTAATACATTATATGTGATGTTGAGATAGCTTTATTTATTTATTTTATTTTTTTGTTGTTTGGGGGCCATACCTGGATGTGCTTAGAATGTATTAATGGATCTGCACACAGGTATAACTTCCGATATGCTCAGGGGAATATATGCTGTGCTTGGAATGGAACTTAATACAAGGGAATTGCCCTGACCACTTGTGCTGTCTCTCTGGCCCTGATAAATCTTTATTCAATTGTTAAATTATGTTGAAAGCCTATGATATAAAATAGAATAGACTTAATGCGGAAATATATGTGTAATTACACAATGTTTAATAATAAGACTTCCTTGGCGACCAAAAAATTTCCAAAATCTGGTTAAATGACATTTGGGAGTTATATAATTTACCAAGCCATGTCATTGTATACTTATTCTGTTATAGGTGACATCAGTAATTTACGTACTTGTGATAATCGAAAAAAAATATATAGCTCATTTGTGCACTCTTATATTTATTTATTTTTTAGTGAATCACTGTGAGGTACAGTTACATACTCCTTGGCCATACACTTGCTATTTGTACAAGCTTTGTCATGCAACTGAAAACTTTCTAGACTTTAATGTTGTTTATATGTTGGTAAGAGTTCCATTAAATTTAATTTTTATCATGACATCATGATTTACAAAGTGATTCATCGTTGAGTTTTAGACATACAATGGTCCAACACCAATCACATTATTCATGTCAACTTCCCTCCACCAACGTTCCCAGGTTCTCTCTCACCATACCCACCCCTCTCTGCCCTCATAGTCTGCCTTGACAAGCACATTTTTAAGTTTGGTTATGATAGTTTGGATTTCCTGCTTTCAGTGTTTTGGGGTCTTGATTTAGATACATACATCTCTACATCACCAAGGTCCCTAACCTTTGCCCCTATTATATCACATCTGCATCTTCTTACTCCCCCCACTGAGTTTCTTCCTTTCCCTGTTCTCATCTTCAAGATACAGTGGGCTCATATGTGGAAATCTTAGGATATTACATGATGCACAATAAATGTTTGATATTATTAATTTTAAATATTTCTAACCCTAAAGGTAAAGGTAAAGGTAAAGGCCCTCCCGTTGATCGTCGATTTGCTAGAGCGGGCCCAGTAACGTCTCCATTGGAGACTTTGTTGTTACTGTGTCTGGCATATCCAATACTCTCGGTAGCTTTATTAAATTAAAGGGAATTTGTTTACCCTACCTCCTATTTTGAACCAAGTACAAGCCCACAAAGTATATCAGTATGGAACTGTATGACCTAGTTGAAAGATTTAATGAGGTAGTTTCAGAACACGCTTGCAGGCATTTTGTCAGTCTTTTTCAGAGGTGTTATCTATGAATAGCCATAGTTGGGGTTGTTGCACAATAAAAATTGGAAAACGCTACACACAGGGAATTTCTTGAGAAATCTGGCTTCCTAGCCTATCTATAGCTTAGCATATAGATTACATATCTAAATCTAAGTAACCTAAATATTTGGGTCTCATAAATTCCCTTTCTGATTCTTTTTAGACTATTCTTAATAAACCATAGTAAAAATCTTAGTTCAGAGACTGAAGAAGCGAATTTGGCAAAGAAGGTTTTCTTGCACATGACTGATCTAGGTTCACTTCATGGCCCTGCATATTGGTCCTCTGATGCCCACCAGCAGTGATCCCTGAGCTCGGAGCAAGGAGTAAGCCCTGAGGCAGCACTGGCTGTAACACCAAAATATAAAGCAAATAAAAATTTTATTTTATAATCTGTGCTTCTCTACTTGTACACATGTCCAGTCCATCCTTTACTACGTTAGCCATATTTCATGCAAATATATATAAACAAATAATCATTCTATGTTCCTATTAGTAGTACAAGGTATTAATATTTCTGAAACTAATAACAGAAGAAGGTAATTTCACTGGTAAATTATTAGTGTTTAAGGGAGCAACTGAAGTGATATTTGTAATCTTACATGTGCATTCTATTTTCTTTCACATGTTCCAGAAACGTAAACAGTTTTCACACTGAGAACTTGATATATGTCCGGCCTTATACTCTTTTAATCCTAACCCAACCTTCAGATGGAGAAGTTGGAAAAGAACTCCCAGTACAACCACAGCTTATTTTTCTGGACAAGGAGGTAACTTATTCATAGATAGTAGCGTCTTTTTCGTGCAGATAGCATGCAGTGTTCATGCCTAATTTAGATTTCATCACCATGATACTCATCCACAGAATGATGGATGAGTACGTGTGATGTTTGCTTCACATGGAACTCGTTACTACCCATTTCTTTCACTTTACGACTTGATTTCCTTCTGCTTTCTATAATTGTATAGGATATGATAAAGGATGAAGACATAATTTTGATCAATTTTCTCCCCAAGAAAATTCTTGAAATAGGTCTCTCATATCTTCTATAAAATCTCACATCTCCAAAGATATATATATTCATAAGAGAAAAAAATTTATTGAATCACTGTGAAATAGAGTTACAAAGCTTTCATGTTTGATTTTCAGTCATATAGTGTACATTTCCACCACCAATGTCCCCAGTATCCTCCCCCGCCAATTTCACCCCTCCCCCTGCCTCTATGGCAGACAATTTTCCTCTTACTCTCTCTCTACTTTTGGGCATTATAGTTTGCCATACAGATACTGAAAGGCCATCATAAGAGAAAATTTTGTTGCCATTGCCTTTTGGCTTTATGTTGAGTTTTGTTTTTGTTTGTTTGGGGGCCACAGCCAGTAGTGCTTAGCGCTCCTCCTAACTTCACATTTGAGGATCTCTCCTATTAGTGCTGAGGAGACCAGGAAGTGTTGGAGATCAGGTCAGAAGACCAGGTCAGGGTCAAGACAAGTACCTTAACACCTGTAATAACTTTCGGGCAAGGTTTAGTTACTTCATGTATGTGTGCTAAGTAAACCAACAAGAGGCTTATGTGCTTAATTCTAATTTCCATCTCCCTGTCTGGTTTATTTTTTTCTATACTTACTAAACTCACAGAGAAAATGTATAATTGATTATTAAATTAGTTTTCCACTCTTTGTAAACATGTCCCCTAATATGCCTTCAGATTAAAAAAAAAAAGAAGAAGAACATGGGACCAAGTTCCACACAGATCACAGATCACAGATCATCCTGTTATTGGTTGATTGCCTCGAGCAGGCCCCAGTAATGTCTCCTTCATCCTAGCCCTGAGATTATATTCAAGGCTCTTTAGGAGAATGAGACCCATCATTGTTACTGGTATTTTGCATATTGGGTACGCCACGGGGAGTTTGCCAGACTCTGCCGTGTGGGCAGGCTACATTCGGTAACCTGCCAGTTTGTCCAAAGTAGGAATGAGGTAATAAGATGTCAAAATAAGATGTCCGGGAGCTGGTTTTTATAGTCTCTGAGTCTTGGCCGTTGATGGGATTACACGGCGCCAGGGGGCCAGGTGGTGGGTGTGACCCCCGCCTACTGGAATTTGGAGGATCTGGATGGAAGATGCTCGACTCCAATCCGAGTAGGCTTGGAGGTCTCGGCCCCGGAACCCGCGTGGCTTTGTCCCTCTGCCAGTACTTTCATGTGTGCGGAGAGTGGTCTCAGCATGGTGGTGGCTGGTCCTGGAGGTCTTCGGCTGCTGGAGCCCCGGTCGGAGCGGGGAGGAAAGCTCGACCTGCTCCCCTCCAAGGGGTCCCGGCGAGGGACACCCAGGCGCGGGGGCAAAAGACTGCACTGTTCTCGTCCGGGATCTGGATTTTATAGTCTCTGAGTCTTGGCCGCTGATGGGATTACATGGCGCCAGGGGGCCAGGTGGTGGGTGTGATCCCTGCCTACTGGAATTTGGAGGATCTGGGTGGAGGATGCTCGACTCCAATCCGAGTAGGCTTGGAGATCTCGGCCCCGGAACCCACGTGGCTTTGTCCCTCTGCCGGTACCTTCAGGTGTGCGGAGAGTGGTCTCAGTATGGTGGTGGCTGGTCCTGGAGGTCTTCGGCTGCCGGGGCCCTGGCCAGGGCCGGGAGGAAAGCTCAACCCGCTCCCCTCCAAGGGGCCACTGCGAGGAATAGCCAGGCGCTGGGGCAGGAGACTGCGCTCTTCTCCTCCGGGAGCTGGTTTTTATAGTCTCAGAGTCTTGGTTTTTATAGTCTCAGAGTATTAACAATTTGTAACAGCATCAGTGCTACTAAATATTCCTATTGATGGTTTTTATAGTCTCAGAGTCACACCCACCAACTGGCCCCCTGGCGCAGTGTAATCCCATCAGCGGCCAAGACTCTGAGACTATAAAAACCAAGTTCCACATTTGGCAAAATTATTTTTGATCCAGTTTGGAATTCATCTAATTCATTTCTGCTTTCTTCCAGTAGATCTGCCTTCCTCATTCAGCACATAACCCCAGTGTTCTATTGTACGAGTTAAACTTTCTCTTGATTGCCTTACCCTAAAATCCTTCAGTAATTTCCATTATTTTTTCAATAAATTCATTGGTATATTATTAATATGAGAAAGAATACATACTCTAATTAGTTTTCTTCCTTTATTCATCTACTTGATATGTGCATCATAAAACATCTTGTCTGATTTTCTCAGTAAGATAGTGTCAAAAACATCTCTTCTAAGTCAAATTTTAACTTTTTTTCTTAAATTTCCAGAATCATATAGTGGAGTCCTTGGGAACCCCTTCAGAACCTTGGGTCATTTCTGTTTCTCTGGAAGGGACACCGGATTCAGTCCTGAGAGGTAGGTGACATTCTAGAGATCATTTACTGTTTCATCTGAACAACAACCAAAAAAGTAACTATTAACAATTTGTAACAGCATCAGTACTACTAAATATTCCTATTGATGAAGAAGAGTTCTCTTCATCAAAAAAAAAAGAGAACTCCCAGAATGACCACCAACTGGGAACTCTTTGGTACTATTGCGGCAACATGGGAAGATGCCATTGTTGACAACATTGACGAGGAATACGATCGACTGGTTCAGCACCTCCATGAATGTGCGAGGAACGCCAAGAGAGAGATAGCCACAAAAAGTCGTCTATCTTCGAAAACTCTTGAGCTAATTCGCCAGCGTGGTTTGGCGCATGCCTCAGGCAACCGCAAGCTAACGTCCGAGCTTGCAAAGCAGTGCAGAGATGCGATCAAGGAAGACCTCAAAGAGAGAAGAGCAGAAGTACTGGTAGATGCGGCAGAAGCCGGGAAAAGTATTCGTAAGGCCCGCCTGTCCTTCGACAACTATAAGACCAAGATGACTGCCCTCCGACGTCCTGATGGATCCATCACATCCTCCAGAACGGCAATGGAGAAGATTATCCATGACTTCTACTCAAATCTCTTCGATAGCCATGTCCACTTGCCAACATACCAAATTCCACAGGATGGGTATGTGGTTCCCAACGTTCTCCCCTCCGAAATCCGACACGCCATTTCGTCAGTAAAGAAACAAACAGCACCCGGCCCAGACAAGGTCAGACCTGAACACCTGAAGAACCTGCCGTCAGTACTCATCAATACACTGGCTCGGCTCTTCACTCGCTACCTGTCTGAATGCAAAGTTCCGTCCCAATGGAAAACCAGCAGGACCGTACTACTGTTCAAGAAGGGAGACATCCATGACATTGGCAACTATCGCCCGATCTGCCTATTGTCTGTCATCTACAAGTTGTTCACTCGAGTCATCCTGAATAGGATTGGCAGAACATTAGATGAAGGACAACCATGCGAGCAAGCAGGGTTCCGCAAAGGATTCAGCACCATCGACCATATCACACAATAACAAAGCTCATTGAGGTTTCTCGGGAGTTCAAGATGCCGCTATGCTTAATGTTCATTGATTTAAAGAAGGCCTTTGATTCTGTTGAGATGGAAGCGGTCATTGAAGCCCTAGCCAATCAGGGCATTCAAGCCCAATACATCAGGATCCTCCGTGAGCTCTATTGCGGATTCACTACCAGGATCTCACCATTCTACAAAGAAGTGATCATTGATGTCAAGAGAGGGGTGCGGCAGGGTGATACCATTTCACCGAAACTCTTCAGTGCCACCCTCGAGAACATCATGCGACGATTAGAATGGGAAGGAATGGGAGTGAAGATAGATGGTCGGCAATTACACCACCTCCGCTTTGCTGATGACATTGTTTTAATAACACCAAACATCAGCCAAGCGGCACAAATGCTGGCCGACTTTGACCGTGAGTGTGGAAAGGTAGGACTACAGCTGAATCTTACGAAGACAATGTTTATGAGAAACAGCCTTGTTCCTGACGCCCCATTCGCTCTCAATGGAACGACCATCTCCGAATGCAACAGCTATGTGTACCTAGGTCGAGAGGTCAACATGACAAATGACCTGGCACCCAAGCTGCGCAGGAGGAAGAGAGCGGCTTGGAACGCTTTCAAGAACGTCGAAGAAATAGCTAAGAGGACGAAGAACCTCCGGCTCCGGGCACATCTCTTTGATTCCACTGTTCTTCCTGCATTAACATATGCCTCAGAGACCTGGGCCCTACGCAAACAAGATGAGAACGCCATTCAGGTCTCCCAAAGAAGAATAGAAAGAGCTATGCTTGGAATATCACGTTTCACTCAAATGAGAGAACGAATCCGGAGTTCTGACATCCGTCGACGATCAAGGATCAGGGACGCTGTCTCATTTGCCAAGGTGTCGAAAATCAGATGGGCTGGTCACGTAATGAGATTTAAAGACGACCGTTGGACTAGAGCTGTTACTGATTGGATTCCACGGGATGTCAAGAGACCGCGTGGCCGCCCACCTACCAGATGGTCAGACTTCTTCCTGAAGATCATGAACGATCGGTTTGAGGCCCTTCATGTTCCCAGAGCGAACAGATGCCATTGGGCTACACTAGCACGCGACAGGGACAAATGGAGACGTTACTGGCACCCACTCGAGCAAATCGACGACTAACGGGAAGTTAAGTGATTAAGTGATAAGTGATGAAGAAGAAATATTTAGTCCACACATGATCTTCAATGACAGTGTCTGTGATAAGGACAGAAACAAATTCCTCTTCTCTTCCCTTGCATGATGAAAGACTGTAATTTCATATCATGTACAAGATAATATAAGGAAAAGAGGATTGAATCAATGATTTGGTCTCCGTTCTGTTTTTCTGCAAACTACTCAGTATCCCTGAGACAAAATATTCTAGGTACTGGATCAAAGAGCGTAACGTCACTTCTATGGGGAAACAAAAACACACCCTCTCTTGATATTAAAAACAATATATGTGAAGAGCTGTCAGATGACTCCATGGCTGAGTGTCTACCTTGCAAGTATGAGGCCCTAAGTTTGATCCCTGATGCTGCCATATATGCAAATCCCTCTTGGCAGTTCTGCTCTCTCAACTCCCAAAACCTCAAGTAAAGTCTGACTACACAGACAGGAGTGTGTGAGCTCCACAACTACAATGTGTGAGTGAAACCCGTGCTGATCATCGCAACATAAAACATGTGAGCGCTGTGCCAGGAGTGCAAATTTTAGCATGTGTGCAAGCATCACAATGAGTCCTAGGAAGCACAGCTGAAATGTGTCTGAGCAACATACACGCACTAAGGGAATGGCACTCTGGCAAGTCTCACATCCAGTTGTGTGAGCACAACAGCTAAGCATGTGTGTAAACCCTGTTCATTTGCAACAACATCAACAGAGGAAAAGGAGTGGGAAGAAAACAGGTAAATAATATAGCACTGTCCACTGTAGCACTGTTCTCCCGTTGTTCATCAATTTGCTTGAGGGGGCACCATTGTGAGACCTACTGTTGCTGTTTTTGGCATATCGCCATGGGGAGCTTGCCAGACTCTGCTGTGTGGGCGGGGTACTCTCGGTAGCTTGCCAGGCTCTGTGAGAGGGATGGAGAAAATGAACCCGTATTGTTTGCATTCAAGGTGAACACCCTACCCGTTGTGTGATTGCTCCAACCCAGGTAAATACTATGATAGAAAATGAAAAGGACCCAGACCCTACCTCTTCTCCAGAACTCATTTTCTCCTCTCCCTATATTATGTCCATATTTTTGATCCTCCCCTATCCTAGTGATTAATCCAAGTACACCTCTTAACTTTACACTGGCTCGGCTCTTCACACGCCACCTGTCTACCTGAATGTAAGGTTCTGTCCCAATGGAAAGCCAGCAGGACTGTACTACTGTACAAGAAGGGAGACATCCACAACATTGGCAACTATGGCCCGATCTGCCTGTTGTCTGTTGTCTACAAGCTGTTCATCCTGAATAGGATTGGCAGAACACTAGATAAAGGACAACCATGCGAGCAAGCTGGGTTCTGAAAAGGATTTAGCACAAACGACCATATTCACATGATAACCAAGCTCATTAAGGTTTCTCGGGAGTTCAAGATGACCCTCTGTCTAACGTTCATTGATTTAAAGAAGGCTTTTAATTTTGTTGAGACTGAAGTGCTCATCGAGGCCCTAGCCAAATGTCAATGTCAATACATCAGGATCGTTCCTGCTGTATGATCACTCCAGCCCAGGTAAATACTATGATAGAAAATGAAAAGGACCCAGAAACTACCTGGTCTCCAGAACCAGGATCAAAAATATGGACATAAAATATGGACATCAGGGCATTCTATGTCAATACATCAGGATCCTCCATGAGCTGTTTTGCAGATTCACTACCAGGATCTCACCATTCTACAGGGAGGTGATCATTGATGTCAAGAGAGGGGTTCGGCAGGGTGATACCATTTCACCAAAACTCTTCAGTACCACCCTTGAGAATGACATGCATGCGATGACTGGAATGGGAAGGGGTGGGAGTGAAGATAGACAGTTGGCAACTACATCACCTCCTCTTTGCTGATGACATTGTTCTAATAACACCAAACATTAGCCAAGCGGCACAAATGCTGACCAACTTTGACCATGCATGTGGAAAGGTCAAATTATAGCTGAATCTCACGAAGACAATGTTTATGAGAAATGGTCTCGTTCCTGATGTTCCATTCACTTTCAACGAGATGAACATCTCCGAAAGCAACAGTTATGTGTACCTAGGTTGAGAAGTCAACATGACGAATGACCTGGCACCTGAGTAGCGCAGGAAGAAGAGAGCACCTTGGAATGTTTTCAAGAACATCGAAGAAATAGCTAAGAGGATGAAGAACCTCCGGCTCCAGACACATCTCTTTGATTCCACTGTTCTTCCTGCATTAACATACGCCTCAGAGACCTGAGCCCTACGCAAACAGGATGAGAACGCTATCCGGGTCTCCCAAAGAGGAAGCGAAAAAGCTATACTTGGAGTATAATGCTTCACTCAAATGAGAGATAGAATCCGGAGTTCCCCGCTCTGTCGATGGTCAAGAATCAGGGAAGCTGTCTTGTTTGCCAAGGCATCGAAAATCTGATGGGTTGGACACGTAATGAGATTTAGAGACGACTGCTGGACTAGAGCCATTACCGACTGGATTCCACGATGTGTCAAAAGATCGCATGGTCGCCCAACTATGAGATGGTCAGACTTCTTCATTAAGACCCTGAACAATTGGTTTGAGGCTCTTCGTGTTCCTAGAATGAGCAGATGCCATTGGTATACATTAACATGTGACAGGGATGAATGGAGATGTTACTGGTGCCAGCTCGAGCAAATCAATGAATAACAGGATGTCAAGTGAGTGATCAAGTGACCTCTTAACTTCATTTTCTTTCCCTGGGACTTGTAAGAAATCAAAAATTGATGTTATTTTAAAT